TACGCACCAATCGCAATCCACCCCTGGGTCTTTAAGGGCAGGGGGCGTGGACTCGGCACAGGCTGGTTTGCGATTGGTTGGAAAGGATGAACCTCTGGGCAGAAGGTTCCCACCTCCCACTCCCGCCCCCTGCAAATGCCATTTAAGTATGGTATCCCTACAGCTCCCTACGCACCAATCGCAATCCACCCCTGGGTCTTTAAGGGCAGGGGGCGTGGACTCGGCACAGACTGGTTTGCGATTGGTTGGAAAGGATGAACCTCTGGGCAGAAGGTTCCCACCTCCCACTCCCACCCCCTGCAAATGCCATTTAAGTATGGTATCCCTACAGCTCCGAGGCTGCCTTATGCAAAGATGAAGGGGGCTTCCCTCTCATAGTGATGAATAACCATAAAACTCTTCTAAATTCCTCTTAGCTCATTCTTAAATAAGGATTGTCAATCATTTTGGTGTCAGTTCTATGAATTTTAATATTCTCTGATTTCTCTCCCTTCCAAATAAAAGCTGCTCCGAAAAAGGCAATAAGGCATTTTAACTGCCTCCTCTCAAATCCAGAACAAGTGGTTTCCCTGGTGACGCAGATATTTCCAAAGCTATTCCCCAACCCCAACATAAAAGCATTGTGATTATAAAATACGACTAATGTCCAGAATTCACAAATGGAAACATTTGTGACACGTTTCCTCACCTGTGTGTCATGGCTGTTCTCAGCTCCTTTTGTTTCTATCGTTATATATGGCTGAGCTCTATAACCTTCAGAATTTAGGGGTGGAGACCATTTAGTATAAATCTGATGGGCAGTCGGGAATCTAAAAGCTAATGCACTGTGCATGGACTTTGAATGCAGAGTTTTGTGTATAGATTTCAGGATCTATATTTTGATCAGAAGAGAACATTTTTTATGGCTGTACAAATAGTTAAGAAAGGAATGAGTGGCTCTTAGGAATTCAGAACTGAGCTCAAGAGTAACCAAACCTCTTACGAGGATGGTAAAATAATAAATCTAAACTCTTCAACATTTTTTATGGCTGTACAAATAGTTAAGAAAGGAATGAGTGGCTCTTAGGAATTCAGAATTGAGCTCAAGAGTAACCAAACCTCTTACGAGGATGGTAAAATAATAAATCTAAACTCTTTTGAGCATAACCATCTTTTCTATTAGGTTTGGGATAGTATTAAGTTTGGAATCGTGTTAACTGTAACTTTTATACTAAAAAGGTCTTGTGTATGAGAAACAAGGCAAATCTACCTTTTACTCTATTTTAGCATAAAATTCTGCCTATTCTGCCTCACCTCCACCTCAAAGTTTGTACTCACTACTCTGCTTCTGTGACTTGCTGACATGGTCACTGTGCAGTCTTCCTGCCATTAAGTATTTCTACCTCAGGGTTTGTCTGTCTGTTTAGATACTATGCTCTCGGAGTAAACATCCACGAAACACTGCCTCTTTGAGTTTGTATTGGTCCTTTGCTGCTCAAGGTCTTTCGCTGCTCAAGTCCTCAGCTGCTGTGCACACACACCTATTGTGTTCATTTCCTAAATTCCTCTTAACCCCCTATAAAAGAAAGAATTCAAAACCCCAACACTCCACTTACACCACCGCCAGAAGAATACTAAGCTCCTCCTTTTTTCTGTCTTTCATTCTCCTTAACTTCTCTGAAGTGTTCCATATTGTTGGATCACTCTTGCCACTCTCCCTCAACTCCCATGTCCCTGAACTTCTTTGGTGTTCTTTCCACTTCTCTGACCATGCCTTCTCTGCCTTCTCCTAATCCCCGAACTTGGGATCTCCACAAAGACTCTCCCAGGCCCATACTCTGCAAGCACCACTTTTAACCTGAACTTTAGTATCATATTTCCAAATATAACATACTCTCCTATCTTGAATGCCCTGCCAGCCACACCAATATTTTTCAAAACTGTGAAATATTTTTCTATTTAAAGTAGTTCTTATAACTATTTCATTTCCATCAGTGGGCCCATATTTCTTTCAGTATTGCAGATGAAATCTGTGACTCTTTAAATAGCTGTCTCATGTGAGTCAGATGCTATCAGATGTTTCACATAAGTCATCTAATTGAATCCTTGAATAGGCCTGGCATGTTCCCCTGTATCACATCACCTCTCCTTCACCCAACTTGGTTACCAATTCCCATATTTTATAAAATGCTGTTTCCTTCAGTTGATTCTTTTCCCTTCCCACTCCCATCATCACAATCCAAACACTTAAAAACTGAAAGAAATAGATTGGCCAGTTAGCTTAGTTGGTTACAGCACAGTGTTATAACACCAAGGTCAAGGGTTTGGATCTCCACACTGGCCAGCTGCCAAAAATAAAAATAAAAAAGACCAAAAGGAATAGAAAGTACCTTCAATATCATCCCTTCTAATCCCCTCATTTCCACATAAAGTAAGAACTAGAGAGAAAAAATGATTTTCCCAAGTTCACCCAGGTTCTAAGAATAAGAACATGGACTCCAAGTTCAAATCCTTTAGTGCACAGTCCTCCAACAAATAACCTAGCTATTAGTGGGTCAGAATCCTCATGTAAAATGGCAGCTAGTACAGTGGCAGCTGGTCTCGAAAGATGCTTCCTAATGAGCCACACCATCCTATGTTGAGTGCGAACTGGCTCGTGTAGCCAATTAGTGATGCTGTGTGACTGCCAAGGCTAAGTCATAAGAAGTCTTACAGCTTTTGTCTTCTCTCTTTGAACATGCTGTTGGGATTCCTGAGCCACCATCTAAGAACATCTGATTCCTTTGAGGTTGCCATGCTATAAGGAAGTCCATGCTAACTTCATGGAGAGGAGAGAGAAAGAAAGAGAGCGAGAACGAGCACTAGCTCACACAAGTGTGCACACCCACCCACCCTCCAGCTATGCCAGCCATATAGCCCAGAGCCGAACCTAAGTGTAGAAGCCACCTTCGTCATCCAGCCCAGCTGAGCTTTCAGACGATTTCAGCCCCAGCTGCCATCTGATAGCAACTACATGAGGGACTCCGAGCAAGAATGTCTAGCTAAGCCCAGTTAACCCACAAAATCAATAAAACCAATAAAAATAAATTTACATCTCAAGGCACTAAGTTTGAAGTAATTTGTTCTGTAGCAATAAATGAGCAGAACAGTTATTATGAAGATTAAATGAGATAATATATTCAAAGCACGCGAAACAAGAATGCATAGTAAATGATAAATAGGTATCAGATGATAATGATGACGATGATTATGACAACCATTCCATTATCGCACCTATATTTTTTTACTCTCAAATTTATCCTTTTTTTTTTTCCTATACCATGTTTTCTTTCAACTGCATAACACCACACTGTATCTCAGGCCCAAAACACTATAATTGCTTCTTAGCTCATCTTCTTGGCCTCTGGCTTTTGCCCTTTCTAGTCCCATACTGATCTCCACTGCTGGACCGATTTTCCTCTAATCTTGCCTTAGCCTGTTACTTTAAATCTAGCAACCAACTTGACATCGCCCACTTCAATACATTCACTTTCCCCTGAGAGCTTCAGACTGCCATCATCCAACCCTAACACCCAACTCCAAGCCTACTTTCAGCTCCTCTTTAACATCTTTGCTCTCCACCTGTAAGGCCAGTATTCCAACCATTTCCACAACATAGCAGATAATTCCATTTCTTTCTCTTCACTGAATTCACTGCCTAGAATACCCTCCTTCTGCTATGCCTACCTCAAACCAGTCTATCAAAGTCAGATTTAAATCATTCAAAGTACACCTCAAGACCAAATATTCCAACCCTTCTTCAAATTCTAACTGTCCTACATTTGTCCCTTTATTCATTTGCTATTTATTAGGCTCCTACTACATGCCAGGCACTGTCCTGAATGCTGGGGACATGGTAATGAACAAAACAAAGTTTTTTCGCATGGAGCATTCAATAACTAAGTTGCTAAATATATACTGCATCATGGGGTGATATAAGTGCAAGGGAGAAAAAGAAAGGATAAAGAGACTATGAAGTGTTAGGAATAAAGTTTCCTATGCTATAACATGCTCAGGGAAAGCCTCTCTGACGAGATGACATATACCCAGACATCTGAAGAGAAGGAGCAAGCCATGTGGATATCTGGGAGGAAGGGAGGCAGGGAAGGGAAAGTCAAGAGAGGGGTACACCAAGAGCAAATGCACAGACGCAGGAGCAGCTTGGTGTGCTCCTTGAAGAGCAAGGTATAAGTGTCAGAGCATGTCATTTAAATACAAATTATGCTCTACAGGAGGTTCTCAGCCACATCAGGCTCATTGCATTCCCTTCTTTTTTTAAATCCATCCATCAATCTATTTTATTTGACAAACTTCAAACTAATTTACTTTTTTTTGTTGTTGTAACCAGTATATTTTTTATCTTGAAATGAAATCCCTAAATGCTTCCTATGTACAAACTTTACTAAATATGCAGTCATGCACCACATAAGTTTTGGTCCGTATACACAATGATGGTCCCATAAGATTATAATGGCTATACCATACAGTTTAGGTGTGTAGCAGGCTATACTATCTAGGTTTGTGTGAGCATCCTGTATGATGTTTGAACAATGATGAAATCACCTAGTGACA